CACTGTATTTTAATCCTAAAATCTTTCGAAAGATAAGATATTCCTAATCAAAACTTCCTTTTGAATGAATAGAGCTTGCAAATACAATGGATTAATCATTGAAGATTTGACACTGAAGAATGTAGATACGAAATTAAACTCTTGAGTTACACAAGCAATCAATTATTTTTATTGTAAATCTTAATGAACTACTTCTTTTAATAAATTTTTTTTAGATATTATGTCTAAACTCTCAATCAAGGTTACTTTAAAATAGAAATACTTAAATATTTATTGATCCCAATTCCTTTAAAATAAAAAATAATGAATGTTTCTCTTACTTTTCTTGTAAAGATTTGATACTTTTAATTTTATTACTTATATAATCCAATAATAATAATGTTTTCTAAGATATTGTATCCTTTGACTTTTAATATAAATTTGGATGTAATTTTGAATTCAACAAATCAGAACCAAATTAAATAATTTTTATAGAATTGATTTATATGCTTCATTTACTATAAGTATTGGTTTTTGTAAAACTTTAATTAAATTTTGTATATTTTGATAATGCTCTCCGTTATTATTATTCCTCCCATCATAACTACTTCTCTTCTATAAATAAATCATATTTAGATCTTCAATAAGATCTATATTTTAAATATGATTTAGTCCTAAGTAACCTTTATTGCACTTAAGCTTCTGCTTCATTAAATTATATAAACATGCTTTCTCTATATTTAATTGATCAATTACTTCTCAACCATTAAATTATTTGTTGATATTAAGAATATCTAAAATCCAACGAATTCTTTTATTACAGAGTGAAATTTTTTTTTCACTTAATCATGATTTTTATTATCCTCAATTTATTTTTGATTAACAATCAATAATCTTATAAATGAAATTGATTTATAATTATTAAATTTTAAAAACTTATTATAATTATCAATGAATATATTTAGTTTATAGAATAATTTTCAAATAATATCTAAAAAAGCTTTTAATCAGTTTAATTTTGAGGGATTAATTGTTTTTGTATATTTTTGTTTAGAATTATTAAATACAATAATTAAAAATATTATTAAAATATTTCTTAATTGATTAAAATAACATATTTAATATGTAATTCTATTAGGCATTTTTATAATAAAAAATAAATTGAAAATGAGCATATGGTCTATAGGGTTAACTGATAAACATGTAATAAAATACAATAATGGAAATCACTATGATGGATATTTTGTTGATGGAAATTAGCATGGAGAGGGTCGAATGATATATACTGACGGAGCGGAATATAATGGAAATTGGAATAATGATAAAAGATAAGGGAAGGGTAATTATAAATGGGCCAATAGAGATGAATATTAAGGAGATTGGAAAAATAATAATCGAGAAGGAAAGGGTTAGATGAAATATGCCAATAATGATTTGTATTTTGTAGTATGGAAAAATGATAAAAGAGAAGGAACAGGTATAATTAAATTTCCCTAAGGTGGTTTGTATTATGGAGATTGGAAAAATGATAAAAGAGAAGGAATTGGTATTATGAAATACTCTACTGGAAATTTATATAATGGTGATTGGAAAAATGATAAACAAGAAGGAAAGGGCTTATTATAATACGATGATGGAAATTAATATGATGGAGATTTTGTAAATGGCGAAATGCATGGAATAGGCAAATTTACATGGGCTGATGGAAACTATTATTATGGAGATTGGAAAAATAATTAACGAACAGGAAAAGGTAGATTTAAATAAATTGATGGAAATGAATATGAGGGAGATTTTGTAAATGGTGAAATGCATGGAATAGGCAAATTTACATGGGCTGATGGAAACTATTATTATGGAGATTGGAAAAATAATTAACGAACAGGAAAAGGTAGATTTAAATAAATTGATGGAAATGAATATGAGGGAGATTTTGTAAATGGTGAAATGCATGGAATAGGCAAATTTACATGGGCTGATGGAAACTATTATTATGGAGATTGGAAAAATAATTAACGAACAGGAAAAGGTAGATTTAAATAAATTGATGGAAATGAATATGAGGGAGATTTTGTAAATGGTGAAATGCATGGAATAGGCAAATTTACATGGGCTGATGGAAACTATTATTATGGAGATTGGAAAAATAATTAACGAACAGGAAAAGGTAGATTTAAATAAATTGATGGAAATGAATATGAGGGAGATTTTGTAAATGGTGAAATGCATGGAATAGGCAAATTTACATGGGCTGATGGAAACTATTATTATGGAGATTGGAAAAATAATTAACGAACAGGAAAAGGTAGATTTAAATAAATTGATGGAAATGAATATGAGGGAGATTTTGTAAATGGTGAAATGCATGGAATAGGCAAATTTACATGGGCTGATGGAAACTATTATTATGGAGATTGGAAAAATAATTAACGAACAGGAAAAGGTAGATTTAAATAAATTGATGGAAATGAATATGAGGGAGATTTTGTAAATGGTGAAATGCATGGAATAGGCAAATTTACATGGGCTGATGGAAACTATTATTATGGAGATTGGAAAAATAATTAACGAACAGGAAAAGGTAGATTTAAATAAATTGATGGAAATGAATATGAGGGAGATTTTGTAAATGGTGAAATGCATGGAATAGGCAAATTTACATGGGCTGATGGAAACTATTATTATGGAGATTGGAAAAATAATTAACGAACAGGAAAAGGTAGATTTAAATAAATTGATGGAAATGAATATGAGGGAGATTTTGTAAATGGTGAAATGCATGGAATAGGCAAATTTACATGGGCTGATGGAAATTATTATTATGGACATTGGAAAAATAATAAACGAACAGGGAAAGGTAGATTTAAATCGATCGATGGAAATGAATATGAGGGAGATTGGGTGGATGATAAGAGACACGGTAATGGGGAATATAGATTTGCAAATGGTCAAAAATAATATGGTAAATGGCAATTTGATAAAAAAGTGTGAATTTAATGAAAAGTTCTTTAATCTATATATTATTAATTATAAAACAATCCTATTTTAATAACTTTCATCTGTTTTACACGAACAGAAAATCAATTTTTTAACTTAAAAGGCTACAATTAACCTGTCAACATTACAAACTATTTAAGCATAGGAAAGAAAAAATATGATAAAATTTTATTGCAATTAGTAGGAAATATGAAAATTTTATAGTATATTTCAAATTATCACAAATTCATAATTTTCTTCATTAAAGAAATTTTATAATTCACAAAAAAAATCTTGAAAAATGGAAAGAAAGAATTAAAAAAAGACTTAATTAATAAATACTGATTCAAAAAAAATTTTAGATGTTTTGATAGTGTAAATTAATTTTAGAGATTTAAGTAGTTTGATTTAATGTGATTAATATATATTGTGGAAAGAAGTACGAGGGGAGGATGGAAACTATTTGATTAGTTGAGTTGTATATTGGTTTGAGTAATGTTAAAAAAGAATTAGAATTGGTTATAGAAATTTTGAGACAAGAAACAAAAAGAAGTAAGTGAAAATGAAATGATTATTTATTATATCCAAAATGATTGCTTATTGTAAAATTTGATTAACATTGAAGCCATTGAGTAGTCTCAAATTGTAATAAAGCTTAAGACCCGGACAAAAGTAAATTCAATCTATTCGAGAAGTTTAATTGAATGTAGAATTAAAATACTGTTTTACAAAAGAAGCTTGTTAAATAAGAATTGTATTAAGTTATATTGGAATAACAATAAAATGCATAAAAGATCTAAAATATTTTGACATGGCCAAAAGTGTAAAAAGTAATATTGGTAGATAAACTTTTACAAAGAGAATGAAAAGTAGATAAGAACAACATTTATATTTTAGTTCTGAAATAAAAAAATTATTGATCATTAACATTACTCATTTTTTTCAAATTAGAAATTTAAGAATACCTGAACAATAGAATGCAATGAATAATTAAGGTAGTAAATAAAAAGCTAAAAAAGATTCAATCGATTATTAATAGAGTTATAGAATATCACTTTATTGAACTTATAAATAATAACAAATTATTTAAGATTATAAGACATACTATTTTCTAAATAATTCTGGGAAATTAAATGTAAAGGAGAGCAACCACTTATTAAAAAAGTTGAGAAGAAAATGCTAAATAGAATGATTGAATTCAAAAAAGGAAAGGAATAGAGCATTAAAAAAATGATCAATTCTTCTCAAATGGATTTATTTTATAGTTAGATTAAAGAGAGGAAGGATTAAAATAATCAATTTGTTAAGTTATGTAATAAATGATTAAGAAATTTATACCTTTAAAAACATAAAATTTATAGAATTGTGTTAGTTTTTTTAAAGTTAATATTCATATGCAAAGAAGTGTATATATGGCATCAAAAATGATATCTTGATTTAATTATTTCATTTACAGATATTTAACTAAATCTTGTT